GCCAGCATGCTAGCTGGGGAATTCTGGGAGTTGAAGTCCACACATCTTAAGTTGCTGAGGTTGAGAAACACTGCCTTTATGCATTCTTTTCAGGCATCAGTTTTTTAGCTAAAATATTTGATAGGCCTTTGGGAGTTTTGCAGGCCCTGAACAGAATGCCCATCATGCACAGCAGATGATGCAGCACTGGCTGAGATAGGGAAGGTACATGTTTCTCTGTCCCTCTAAACAACAACAACACGACCTAGAATTCAGAGGTTAAGGTCATCCATAACTGGCAGGCTGCTCAGCAGGAAAAAAAGAGAGCAGAACATAAGAGTTGTGCTGGATTAGAGTAACAGGCTATTTTGTCCATTATTATATTATTATTCCTAAATAATATAGGTCTCTGACCTCTAATGCTATTACAGTGTAAACCAGTGTTTCTCAACCTTGGCTGCTTGATGCTGGGTGGGGAATTCTGGGAGTTGAAGTCCACACATCTTCAAGCAGCCAAGGTTGAGATACACTGGAGTAGACAGAGGAGAACAGCATAATGGAAATAAAAGGAAGGAAGAAAATGTAATAATAGTTAATAAACTTGCAGACTGTAGTCCACAAATACTTCTGCACAGTATTTTTGTTTAACAATATAGTTGTTAGCCAGAAAACTCTTTGCTCCAGCAAACTCTTTGTTGAAAGTTGGTAGGTAAACTGGGTTAATGATGGACAAGAATCAATGGGTTAAGAGGAAGGACTACCAAAGTATAGTTATTAGCCATGCTAGCAAAGTGGAGCTCCCATGTTCAGAAGCAGCCTAGCTCTGAACTCCTGAAAAGTCAGGACAAATAACAAGGAATGGCTATCTTCCTCAAGGCACATGAGCTACTAGAGGCATATACCCAAGGAAATTAATTAACAGAATATTTGGGGCTGATTCATAATTTAATGCTTAACATTCATGCATTATTTTGGTTCTGCTTGGTGGCTGGGAATCTTCTTTCCCGCTTACTGTGGGAGCTTACTCTGTGACCAGCTGACCGCTAGAACCTTAAAACAGCCTTTAAGGGCAATAACTGGCACCCCATCCCAAACAAAACCAGGTTTTGGTGGCCACCATGCACCACTCTTAACATTTAACTGGACCTTTCTGGTTGGCAAAGCAATTTGTATGTTCTTCCTCTTCACCTCCTTCTAGTTCTGTAATTTGCCCTAAAAGATGAGCACAGATACTCTTTTGGACCCTGAAAAGAGAGTTTCAGGTTACTGTAGAAGCTTCACTTGAGATCTCCTTCATCAGTTCTTCCAACTGAAAACAGGATATGGCCTCAAAAGACTGTCCAAGGACATGTGTCACTCTGGCTGCTGATATACCACATGCTTTTCTGAGAATTGTTTTGCCAAAACTCATAATACTGCATTATTCATCCAACTTTACAGGAGAACAACGCCAGGCTTTGTGTAAGGTAGTAAGTTTACAAGCCGTAGCCTTAATTGCTCTCTAACGCAAACCCCTCTGACTGTGTTCCTAGAACGCTTTTAAGCAGGTTAGTTAAGGACCAAACAGATACATCTGTACAACATGCTAAACTTAGCTAGCTAGTTTTTCTGTATTTCAGAATGCTGTGTGAAGCCACCCCATTTGGTCAGCTTATGGTTCAATGTGTTCCATAATGAAAGAAAAGTGGGTTGCAAATGTATGCGTGAATGCAACCTATATGTTTGTGTGGCCTAGACCAGCCATTAGGTATTTTCTGATTTGTTTTCTTGATTGGATCAAATGATGCTTCCCAGAGATAAACTGGGATCTACATAAATGTGGAAAGAGCAAGGAGGCCTTGTATAACAACATCCAAGCAGGAGCCACAGATGCTCCCTTTGAAGATATCCTTGCTAGGATGAACTCTGTGCATGTTCAACGGCTTGGGAACTTATTTGGGCAAGTAATAGTG